GCTTTCGTTTAACTGTAAGTAACGTTGTCTTGAATTTCTTGAATCGCTGCAAATTAACGTCTAGGCAGAAAACATGCTGGTATGCTGAAACTAGGAAGTGCACGATACATTTTGCTGCTCATCGAGCTCAAACGAGACAACCATATTTGTTTGGTGCACCTATCGATACCAATGTGCTACATTAACAAATCGGACAATTGGTGGAAGAACCCCACGCACAACATCCTACCCGATGTCCAGTTTTGATAATAAGCCACCGCCAGGCACGCCTAGCTTGGTGCACACTGTATTTGAGCTTCAGAAGGTCAGAGGTTCGTGAAGATCCGGAATACAACGAGTCTGCCTGTCGTAAGAAGCGACTATCTGGATCGAGCGGTAAGGCTCGCTAACTTGGATTATTTAGTGGACCACTTGCTTGACAACATTAGAATCTATGTCGAAACGTCGCCTAAACAGAATAAAGAAGTTGTATATCCATACAAATAGTCCTCATTCTTCATGTACCCAACTTCTAGAATGCCAATTAAAGAGGTCAAACAAAACAGAAGAGAAAGTTTTGGACAGTTTTACTGTGTAGATTTCATCTGGAAATATCTGATGGCCATGTAAGCGTCAAACGGGGTCCAGGAGAACGCGGGCGTTTGTCAATGGCGTTATCATGGAGATGGAGGTGTAATGGTTAACTGACAACTCATGGGAGAATACGGCTCAACATTTTTGAATGGCATACACTTCAACATCGTTCGAAATTCCCTTTGTCTTAAGCTGACCTAGCGTCACATTGCGGCAGATTAGTGCCCCCTTTACGTCGCTATGTCTGTATATACTACCGGTATACTAATGCCGTGTAGCCATGACCGATTGTTTCTCCGGGCATCATCCCTACAGAAAATGGTTGGAATGAAATGAGAAACGTCTACAAGACAACAACCAGCATCTTTCGCTAGCTCGACTGGTGCAATCTTTGGCTGACATTTGGAACAATATCCCAAAGGTAACTGTTGCTTTCAGATCTCTGGTGTTTAATGTATCAGTTTGTTCTCTCGCCTGTAACAGTCAAATATTCCTTCGGTGGCTTCTCTTATCTGGGTTCTTTAATTACTTCCTTAATTTCAAAGTGCTGCGTTAAAACAACAAACCAAAACCAATCCTTAATGATTTACATTCTGTACTGATCGTTTTAAGTTCGTTTTAAGCTTCAAGTATAGGACATTCTGGTCTGAATACTCATCACATGTAGAAAATGTAGAGGTCTCGGAATGTTTGGATGATTCGAAATGTCATCTCATGCGACCATCTGAGGATGGATGTGTACATTTGTCTTTTCCGGAGCAGAACTCCAAACTTGGCACATGGATAGATCTGGTTCGTGTACTGGTGCCTTTTGGTAGTTTTGGAATTCTGAATAAAATATTTTTGGCGTTTCCATGGCAACTAGTTTGACTTACACTGAAATTAGTGGTATTGCTCTTTTCCGGAGCAGAACTCTAAAACCGTTCAATGTTTCTTCACCAAACTTGGCACATACATAGATCTGGTGGTGTACTGGTGCCTTTTGGTAGTTTGGGATTTCTGAATAAATATTTTTTAGCATTTCCATGGCAACAAGTTTGACTGAAATTGGTGCTAGTGCTCCTTTCTGGAGCAGAACTTTAAAAACCTTTCAATACTCTCCTTCCACTTTTCTATATACACACCTACATATTTGACATAATCATAACTCCTAAACATTATCATGAAGAGTATTTTCCCATTGCGGGGGGATATTGATGACTTTGTCTTCTTGTTAAAATATGTTACTGGAATAAACTAATTGCGCATTATTTAATGTTATGCCACTTTTTAATGGTAAAAGATAATATCATGATTTGTGGTGTTTTCCTTAATCACTGTATGACTGTTGACAGGATACTATCGAAATCGTTATGATTTCATACCAGGCATCGTGGCACGCCCTTGAAGAGATGTGGTGTCAAAAGTCAGTTCCAGTGTGTCTCCAGCATTGGCGTTGATGCAGGCTTTGACTACGTCGACGTATAGACGACACTAAGCGATTGAGGAAAGCTTGGGAAATGTTGTTCCATGTCTGATCCAACGCCTGTGCTAGTTCAACTAACATCAATGGCTGAATCTGGGCTTAACGTAAACGTCTCTCCATTTCATCCCAAGCGTGATCGATAGTGGGCAGTTGCGGAGAAACAGCTGGCCAGTGGAGTACCGGAATGTTCTGCTGTCTCAGGAAATATGTCACAACACAAGCGACATGTGAGCGGGTATTATCTTGCTGAAGCGTGGAGTTCGTCTCGAATGAACGGCTGCACATGGGGCCCAATGAACTCATCCCTGTATCGCAGATCTGTCAGACTGCCATTGTGTCCAACCAAGGGATTTGATGCTTCCTCATACCATAACGCTTTCGCCACCAACCTGTCAACGTTAAACATCGCACGTGTTAGCACATCGTGCACCTCGCCGTCTGTACACCCTTGCAAAGAGCTGTCGAGATGAAATCTCGACTTGTCAGTGAACAAAAGGCCATCGCAATCTTGTCTCTTGTGCCGTAGATCCTGTCTGCACCAGGCAAGACGTGCCTGTCGGTGACGACGGAGCAAAACTGAGCGTATTGCAGGCCGTCAGTGTCGGATGTTGTGCTCCCTCAGTCGGTTCCGTACAGTCCTGGAACTGCTTGGACGTAAGCCTGGAATGGTCCGTGAAATCAAATTGGCAGTCGATTCCTTAGATGGGTAACCCGAATCTGGTTGTCTTGCTGACGTGACGTCACGCAAGGACGGCCGGTGCGAGGGGAAAATCTCTCGTGTTCCCATTCTGCTGAATCCCCATGGTCCCTGGTATGGTGATCTACCTTCTGGTGTTGGCGATCTATAGCTTGTTTTTATATTGTATTGTCCAAATAGTGCTATCAGTTTTAACTCTCCGTACTAGTTTTAGTTGTAATTGTGATATTCTAGTTGTTTTACTGATATTGCCGATGTGACGTTAAATATTAACTAACTCACTCGCCCATTCTGCTGAAAACGTCTCCATATAGATGAGATCATGTTTCGATGGACACCAAATGGCTGGCCACACCATTTTGGGCCATTCCAGTCTCCAACAGCGGAGACGCTGACTTTCTGTAAGTCTGAATAACCAACCGTTCTTCAATTTTCAATATCATGTGTGTGAATTTCAGGTGTCAAAGAACATGCTAAAAGTGAGTAAGTGTAATGTTCACAAAGTGCACGTTGCACGCTCGATACGTAACATCGAATTTCATGCAAAGTGCTTTGCTACGTGTTTATTTAGGGTTATTGTTATAACTTCTCAAATAATTTTTATTTTATGCCATTTTATGTTATGCACAGTTACTTTTGTCCTATCAGGTCGCTGGCTCTTGTTAGTGTGGGCAGGTCAAGGCCAAGATCGTCAAAGTCAAACGGGCACGACATAGGCCGGTTTGCAATGAATAGATATACGTAAACGAGAGGATACGTAAGTCTGAAACTTTCAAAGTAAATTTTGACCCACAAAACTTTAATCGTAGAATATGTGTTATTTTACATAATGACTATATTCACTGCAATCACCAGTGGCTGAAGGGGTGGTGTAAATCCAGCTAGGGTCCCCATGGTCCCTAGTATGGTGATCTACATTCAGTTGCTGGTGATCTATAGCCTGTTGTTATATTGTAATGTGCCAAATAGTATTTAAGTCACTCACTCTCACTAGTTTTAAATCTCTAACTGATTTTTCAGTTCTTTTACTGTTCTTCGCAGACAGATTTTAAGACACAACACAATATAGTATTACAATATGACCCTTTTAAGCCACGATATGGCTGAAATATTGCCAAAGTGACAATACATTTTAACCCACTCATTCACTCACTCACTGACTTTGTGTGATGGCGAATAGGTGCCTGACTCTGAGGGTGTGGGTTAGAATCCCTGATGGGACCCAACCCAACAAAAGTATTAGAATATGTACGTTACAAAGAAAGTGTAATCCCAAATATGACACATGTTACATTTGACCACTTTGTAAATGCATTGTGTATTCATCATTATGATAGTTGGCTGCAAGTCTCCGAAGGAATGACGTTTATTGCGCTGACAGGTGCCATCAATTCAGCATGTGCTGGTGTATGTTGTGTTTGTATGATTCTGAGCAGGGATTTTGGCTCGGAATCGAGAAATCACAATCTTCCGAAGACGCTAGCTCCCAAACATCCTCGCTAATCTCCACGGTATTCATTCCAATAAATCCAATAAATCTCCAGTAGTGGATGCATCTACGGCTTGGTCCCATAATTTTATTACCTCCCTTTGCTGGGTCCGCCTTCGCACAGTAGACAATCAGATAAGCCGTTACAACCGAGCTTGCCAGTGTCAAGAAAGATAGTGGCCGCAGCCGCGAAGGTTTGCTCGCTGTGCGACTCAGATTTAGGGGAAAATCATACAGACAAATTGACAGGTCTCAAACCTTCCAAAAATATATGCAATAACTCCTTCTATCTCTTTCAGAGTATCTCTGCAAAAATTATGTTGCCAAGTTTAATCAGTAAGATAAAGGAAGCGAAAGTGAGTTGTGATAGGAGCGCTGTGATTGGCACGCTCAACTTTCCAGCGTAGACACCTGATTGGATAAAACGCCTGCAAAGGGAGGCAATACAATTATCGGGCCGAGCCGTAGATGCATCCAAGGTACTAGTGGAGATTTATCGGAAGGTTATCGAAGATGGCTCCCAAATTGCTGCTTGGATATTTGTGATGTAGATCTCATTATCAAGGTAAATCGATTGTCTTCAAATGCGTACATAATTTGATTGGGGTATATACTGTGGACAATGTTTAATTCGCCATGAAACTAACTTGATGTGTTAACCTCGTTACGCCCCATTTGTTATATATAATGTTTTGACTCTGTCAATGACAGTATGTACCATTGAGTCCATTCTTTTACGTCACAAGCCCCTGCAGTTGCATAAATAAATGATTCAATTCAAAATACGTTTTTTTATTGCTTTTCGAACACTCGCTACATAAAACAATTGAAATTATTCATGGAATACCGTTCGTAACAGTCTACTTTGTACATAGTAGGTATCTTGTATAACTTAAGAAGGGATGTACATATTTGGGATATCACTTCCAAACAGGGTCATGGGATCGTTAAAGAAGTATCTTCTGAAGTCATTTTCAGCAGGATGACCTTTGTAAGGAACCCACACCGAACAGTGATTGTCATTGCATTGATTAGCCCATGTGAGGATGTATGCAACACGCCGAGTAATCGGGTCACCATTTATCGCAGAAAGGATTTTATCAAACCAGAAATTAGTCTCTGTATCAATGCCATTGTTAAACAGCCCAGCCTCTGACACAGCAGCTATCTTATTCTTGGACTCTGCTATCTCCACAACGTGTTTGACTGCTGTGTGAAAGTCACTTGTCTTATCTTGTGGCGTCTTGTAGTAGAAATCGGTGGCAATAACATCAACGTAGTCATCACCGGGGTACACTTTGAGGTAATCTGTTTTATCCTTGAACTTGTCCGGGCTGAAGACATACAGGAAGTTGTGAACGTTCTTTCGATCACGTAGATACGTAACTATGTATCGGTAAAATGATTTCAGATCATCTTCTGTATTTTGAACCTTATTTCCCAATCCCCAATAAAACCAGTCTCCATTAAGCTCATGAAGAGGTCTGAAGAGAACAGGGATAAGCTTTCCTTGGTCGTCTGTCAGGTTGTGAGCAATATCGGCGATCGTGTCAAGGTTCTTCTGGTACTTCCAATTGAAGTCTCCTCCTGGTAAGAGACGCCTCACGGTATGGAGGACAGTTCCGTTGTCGTCTTCCACCCATGGACTTCCACCAGTGACGGGGTTAAACAGGTGCTGGCTCAGGGTTGAAATCAAACCTCGCTTGTGGGCCTTCTTGATAAGATGGGACAGAATTATCCTTCTGTCATCACTCAACTGCCAGAGCCCAAAGTCGATTACTGCTGCATACTGGCCAGTCACGCTCTTCACGTCAGACAACTCATCTGGATAATCTTTCAAAGCCTGTTCAACCTGTCAATGAATCAAATATGTATCACTACGGTAGGACTACTTTGTTTCCTACTTTAACTGAGTTGGTCGATGTAAAACATGAACGATAGCTGTAAACACCTTGAGACCCATTAAGATCCGGATTAGAATTGGCCTTCTGCAACCCATGCTTGTCGTAAGAGGCGACTAACGGGATCGTTAGTCGCCTCTTGGTTGACACATGTCATCGTATCTTAATTGTGTGGATCGATGCTCATCACCGGATTGTCTGGCCTAATCTTGATTATTTACAGACTGACGCCAAATATCAGGAATATCGCTGAGCTCGACGTTAAACACCATGAAAACACCCCAAAAAAGAATGTGACACTGATCTGTGATTGAGCTCACAACCAGTGATGTGTTCCTTCAATGAAATTGTTATGGCCTCAATGAACTGTTCATCTATACTAAACAATAATACCATGTGTAATCATGCAGTACGCATTTGTCTACGCATGTTGTATTCCATGTTCGTTGTGTAACACCGCACTCAGGAATATTTAAACTATAGGAATACGACTGTATATACACAAATCTGAACCAGAACATCCAGTGATGGATGTTATGAGCAAAGAACGTCTGGATAGAGCAATATGCCCTTAATCGTGTCATCGAGCCAAACCGCCCACTTCATTTGGCTTCCTCATACGATACGAAAACATATTTTCTGGGGGCATATATTCGTATCCGGAATCTCTACATAACTATTACTCTTTCTTTACAAACTGTGAGGTCTAGCTGCATGGGACCAGGAATCGCATTGGGATCACATTGTATGGATGGTGCTCAAGGTATATACATGAGATTAAATTCAATCATAAAATGTATATGTATAGAACAGTTCACGAATGTATGAGTGGACATCGTTAAGTAGATACATACTGTATATGTCCAGCCTTTATCACTAGTGTTAGTAAGGATGTCGTACGGGGCGTGGCCACCGGATGAACCAGTCCACGCCATGACCAAACATAAAGTCATCATCAGAAGGTTCTGGTGGACCATGCCCAAACATAAAAGGTGTTGGACAAAAATAGTCACAGATGTTGTTTAACGCGGCCATCATCAGAAGGTTCTGATCCACTGCACTGCCCGATCCTGTGGAGACTCCTTCTCATTTCCAAGACTCGATGGTTGCTATGACTTGCTGGTCCGTGGGTAGAGATGTAGGCAATACTGGCGAAAACTGTGAACCCTCGTTCTGTAAGGAACAATACATGACCAAGAAGTTGCCCTGCAATCGAAATAGGACAAAAACAGTCTGAGTGTTGTGTAACGCGGCACTCCAATATTACAGCTACGTGGCGGTGTTGATAGACATCTTCATCATCAGTCTACATGACAGGGACATGCATCAACCATCCGATCCCGTATGTCGTCTCATCATGGGTAGGCACTTAGTACTGACAGTGCAGTGGAAATGAACATCTGCACAAATACATGCAACAAAAACAAAACACACACAGATCCAAGCTGAAAATCATGACACTTGTGTCGCGTCACTTTAAATTGTTCTATTTTGGGGACAAGAAACTAAAATCATTATTAAACGGACAAAGCTATCATTCGAATGGCGCCACTGCATCGCATTTAAGAGCAGAGTGAGTGAGGTAATATTTATCGTCACATCAGTAATATCTCAGCCATATCGTAACGGAAATAATTAGTTAACATATTAAAGATCAAGAAAATGAGGACTGACTGACTGAGTTTTGTTTTTACGCCGCTTTTAGCAATTAAAAGCCCGGGGGACACCAGAAATGGACTCGATGAACTGAAGAACTGTAAAACAACTATTTAATCACAGATGTCAAAGTAAAACTAGTAAATACAGTACAAGTACAGAACTCACCCTCCTTGTAATTCATAGCTTAAACGTCAAGAAATTTATGTCTGTTTATGTTAATATGCATGTTCTACCAATTGTACAGGGCTAACAGTTCACGGGTAAAAGGCACTGTAAGTCCCTATCCCTAGTATGGTGTTCTACTCAGTTGTTGGCGATCTATAGCCCAATTTTACATTGTACTGTCCACAAATAATTTTCTACTTTTAAAGATATATGCTAGCTAAACTCAATCTGTCAACTGACAGGGTTTTATATATATATGTATGTATTATAAATTTAGAACTAGTTTTAGTCACGATATGGCTGAAATATTGCCGATGTGACTTTAAATCTTAACTCACTCACTACAGGGCTAACACCTCACACTAAAATATAAATTTGTTTCTCAAAATATGATGCAATGATAAGAAATATGGCCAGTGCCATCCACTTCAGCCTGCCATCGAACATCGTTTCTGCACTTCAAATTTGATAGTATTTTCCTCATGTGTTCCATTGGACCTTTGAAAGCTTTAATGAGACCATGGATTTTGTAACTTTGATTAAACGAACATCTGAGCCAAATTCTTGTGAGGCTCCTTGAAATCTTGGAAAATGTACAAGAAATACATTCTATTCTAGACAAAGGTTCACAGTACAACCTGTATGGCTTAAAGAGCCTTTTTCAACTTGGATACAAATATTTCTTTTTAATATTTCATCATAACTATCAAAATGACTCGCAATGACAAGACAAACATTGGGGGTTTCATGGTGTCCGAAGACGGACATAAGCATATATCCACGTGTTACTTCATGTATCAAGTTTCTTTGTCGTTGCATGTGTTTGTGACGAGTCGCACACTTCGTCGCAAACACCTTGTATTTACACAAGACAACTAGACTATGTTACTCCGGTAAAAGTTGTGAACCTGTACATCACTTCCTTTTAGAATGTAAACTGTACAACATTCAAAGGTAGACAAAGATAGAACCGCATTGTACAATATTTTATTAATGTTACTTGGAAGTGCAGATATGACTATTCAACAGAATGAATATGTTTCCAAGTGTGTACAAACTTGCATTTATCAATCAAAACGTTTTTGAGTAATAACTTAAGTTGTGTCCCTTCCTCTGTTCTCTCTCTAACGTTCATACACTTCCTGACCCGTGAAGATCCGTGTTAGAATATTGATCTTCAGCAACCCATGCTTGTCGTAAGAGGCGACTAACGGGATCGAGTGGTCAGGTTCGCTGACTTGGTTGACACATGTCATCGGTTCCCAATTGAGCAGATCGATGCTCATGCTGTTGACCACTGGATTGTCTGGCCCAGACTCGATTATTTCCAGACCGCCGCCATATAGCTGGAATAGTTCTGAGTGCGGCGTAAAACTAAACTCACTCACGCCTACACTTTCTCTCTATTCCTTGCTAATTTGTATAATAGTGAAAATGCATTCATGTAAACACCAGGGAGCGGATATTTAAGTTGGATAACTTGTCCCCAACCTCTTTCACAATTGTGAATAAAATATGTTTAAATCAAAACACCCTGTATCATCACTAGGTGACAGTAATTCATCAGTCTATCTCACAGTCCCTGAACCACATTATTTCCATGTAGTGTACTACCGCCTAGCCCTCTGCAATGCTAAAGCCCTTAAATTCAAATGGGTATATTTATCAAAATTATGTATAGATCGAGGGACTAAGCTTTAGTCTAGTAATTCATGAACAAATGGCTAGTAAGTGAGTTCGGTTTTACGCCACTTTTAGCAATATTCCAGCAATATCACGGCGGGGGACACCATAAATGGGCTTAACACATTTTACCCATGTGGGGAATCGAACCCGGGTCTTCGGCGTGACGAGCGAATGCCTTAACCACTAGGCTACCCCATCGCCCCCACATGGTTAGGATGTCATCGCAATGATTATTGTTTAATCTAATGAAAACGGTCCTATTCTGAAAATATAAGTACATAATTATTTGAAAACAACTCCCTTAAGAGAGAAATGTCAATGTCAACAGAATAATTTAAATGGAAGTTTACGTCAAGTAAAATAGAAATAATGTATCGCTGGTACCTGATTGCCATTCCGATGTCTGTTAACCTGGCCGGCATATAAGAGATAGTTGAAACTATTCTTATACAGACCATGTGCACAAACAGAAAATGTTCCCATCTCTCAGTAAGATGAGTTGTGGTGAAGGTTCCTTACAGATAACAAATGTGGAATATTCCAAGGTTGTTCAGGTTGATAAATATCCTTAAGTTAGAGCGTAAACTAGCTGTCCCTATGAGACGATAATCTATGTTGGTTGGTTTGTTGTTTAATGCCGCACTCAGCAGTATTCCAGCTATATGGCGGCGGTCTGTAAATAATAGAGTCTGGACGAGAAAATCTACGCCATTGGGATGCGATCACGTATGAGTTGCTGAATATCAATTCTAACCCGGATCTTAACGGGTGATAATCTATGTAAGATCATATCAAAGTACTTTCACATAAAACTACAATCTTCATCGTTGCACTGATTTTAGTTTTTTGCACTGACTTGATTTTCTCCACAACAAGTGCTAGAATACCATACAGCTATAACGCTTGTCCCCAATGTCCCTTACGGTGGCCTTTGAAGATAATGCTTCCGATTGAATCGCTGACAAATCGTCCTAATTTCAGTTTTCTTGAACCAGTCATATGCCTATATGTGATATATTACGCTTGTGTAGGCTATCCTTTTTAAGTCATGTTTTAATGTTCAATGCATGATATACATGTAAGAGTATCGTGAATCACACATAAAGAATACATATATTTATATGGAACCTGAGTATAATCTTGTAGTCGAAAAACAGCATAATAGCGGGATGGTCACATATTTTTCAAAAACTAGTTCAAGAGCTTTCAAAATAATAGAATATCAATTAAGAACACAAAATGGAGCTAGTGATTGCCAGCAACCTAAGTAAAGCCGCCTATAGTCTGTTTGATTTCATTTGAGACCGATGAATTGCTCACTAACACAAAATCTAATAACTGCAACTAAGCCAAATTTTGCGCAGTCCCGTGAAATCGACAGACCAACTCTGATGATTTGTATCATAATGTTGGACACCGAATAAAAATGTTATTATTTGTTGTCACTCTACGCTATATCGTACGAGGGGGTACCACTTGTTGGGAGGACAGCCAGGTAACGAACAAGCGTGTGTAGTGAAATTTCAATATCACACGTGCAGCTTGCACAACTGGCTGTTCTACCAGCATGCCCCCAACACACACACACACAACACACACCACTACACCCATACCCACACCCCCACGAATAAACGACACGTGACAACAAAATAATAAATAACATTTTGGGGGGTTTTGTTGAATATTTTTTTGTGTGTAAGTGAGAAATTCATCGGTCTAAACTGAATTCAAACGGACTATAACTAGGGACAGAGGGGAGAAATCACAAGCGTTCCAACAGACAAAGTACATGAATGTGTCTGTAGCTGGGAATCGAATCCTTCATAAGATGACATTTGGCCGGCAACACAACCCTACTACCAATCATCAGCCGTAACCTTGGATGGCCCTGTATATATGATGACCCGATAGATATCAGAGATGACCTGACCTCAACATGTATGTTTTAAAAACATAGGTAACAACCTCAATTTAATCTTATCCAGAAATATTCATATATAACAAAACCTAAATAGAATAGAACACATAAGACCGTTGCCTATTGGAAGGATGAACTTACGGTAGGAAAATGGACTTTATTATTTCAAAATCATTAGAAAGATGTACGATTGCATTTAGAATATCTAAGTATTTTCATGTAAACAGATGTATAATCAACTATTTGTGTATTTTATCATACAGAAATAATGAAATACAAATTGGGCGAAGTTTTGAAAAGTTTACAAAGGTGGTGAAAGCATTTTACAGATTTCTATAAATTAGTAGATTTTTCTACTGTACCTCATTACAACATTTAGCAAATAATTGTCGTTCCTTATATGGAAAGGCCAAGGTCACCCATTCGTTTAAAACACAGCAACTTTGTGTGTAGAGTTTCGTTCAGTGGGTGTGACATATTGACCTGTGACCTGGAACCTTTGCTCGCCCCGATTATGTTTCTATGTTTGTCAGCTCCACAGCCGTTCCAGTTTATGTTTAATGGAATACATTTCACATCACGCTTTGAATATGCTTGTGGGTGTGGGTGTGGATGTGGGTGTGGGTGTGGGTGTGGGTGTGGGTGTGGGTGGTTGTACCGTACAACATAAGGAAAACTTAGAGAAACTTCAGTTAGAAGCTACAAGAATAGTTACGGGTCTTCCTAGATATAATATTATAATTTGTCGTTAGGTATGAGACATGATGGAAAAGACTAGATGAACGAAGAAAATTAAGAACGCTTTGTCTATTTTATAAAATTCGAAATAATTCAGCTCCTGTATACTTAAAAGATATAACTACAGATAATTTGGAATCGAGATATCTAGTTATAACCTTCGGAATGCTAACAATATTATCTTACATCCTGACTGATTAAGACATTCGTATGTTTTCTTTGTTCCATCAACTATAAGATTATGGAATAATATTCCTGATACCGAATATTGAATAGATCACGAACAAGGTTACAATAAATGACAGATTTCTAGTACAATGCATTTGAGTTACAAATCTAAAATACTGGGTCACAAATCTAAAACATTAACTCATCAGAGTCATTCACTTTCACCATATCCTCTCAAAACAGGTTCAAGAGAAGAGCCTTTGCAAGAACACATTTCAGATAGAATGTAAATAGAGATTGGTCACGGGTAATATTTTCAGATGAGAGTCAAGTTGTTGTAGGAAAAGATTAGAAAGTTTATGTTTGGAGGATTAATGAAGAATAGTGGAAACCCCGGTGCCTTGGTGTGTGCATGGATAAAAATTATCCACGTCTCAGTGTGATGTTCTAGGGGTGTATTTGTTTTGAAGGTGTTGAAGTGAGTGAGTGACTTTTGTTTTACGCCGCACTTAACAATATTCCAGCTCTATGGCGGCGGTCTGCAAATAATTGAGCCTGGACCAGACAATCCAGTGATCAACAGCATGAGCTGTGCAGTTGGGAACCGATGACATGGGTCAACCAAGTCAGCGAGCCTGACCGCTCGATCCTGTTAGTCGCCTCTTACGACAAGCTTACTGAAGATCAATTCTAATCCGGATCTTCACGGGTACATCAACAGCATTAAAGGCACAACGTCACACGAGATATCTCTATAAAAAAATAATGCATTTCTCTCAATAATACCAACTATCAGCCCTCAGGGAAGCTACCACATAATGTATACCCAAACAAAATTACGTATTAGATTACAATATTAAATTGAAAAGTTCGAAGGAATTAATGCAACGTTGCATTATATCGACTCTTGCGCCCTCTACACCGGACCTTCACGGGTTTGAAGGTGTTGATGTAGATGGTTATATCAATTCTACAAATTATATAGATATACTGGCCAATAATGGGCAAAGTTCCAGCACATCGGGGCTATATATCTCAAGAGGACAATTTTCCTTGTCTGACAGACAATTCAGTGGAAACGTGAGAATGACATTCAGACAAAGAATTGGCCTCCTCAGTCCCCAGACTGTACATAATATAATTGAAAATGTATGGAGAACTCTGACAATCAGGTTACAAAGACAGTTACATGAAATTTAAACCAAGCAGGATCTGATGCATCACGTTCAAGGTACCTGTACATCATTCACTCAAGAGTACATCAAATCACTGTATTCTACCCTACCTAAGCGAATTAGGGTTGTACTTGCAGTAAATGGCTGTATTACTAAATACTAGTGTAATTGGACATACATGATGCGAGATGCGAACCAAAACCCACACTCAAAACTTTGTGACCCATATTAACTATCAGTTAATCAATGTGATATTACAACTTACAAAAAACACACTACTATAACAAATTATACAATTAAATATTATAGTTATATGAGATATATGACTGGTTAGCTAAAGTATGACCTGTATCGTTTCAACATGAACGATTCTGCTTTTTGTTACTGTGGAAATGCTTGTGAAATTATACATCACTTCGTATGCGATTTTAAACTGTACACTCAAAGAGAGACATTAACGTTACTTGGTTCTTGAGTGATCATATAAGTTGTCCCTTCTTATCCTCTCTTAAACTTTCCTTATACTTTCTCTCTATTCCTACCTAAAATGTATAAAATTGCAAATGCACGTATGTAAATATTAGGGAGCGAGTATTTTAAGTTGGATAACCTGTGCCCAATCCCTTATATTTGTGAATAAATAAAATATATAATTTAAATCAATCATTCAAATAAGCGGACACTGTAACCACAAGGTTACCTTACCGAAATGGTGTCTCCCTATAAAACGTGCTGAACTAGTAGAAAAATACAAACACGCATCAATGTACGTCGTTATATAAGTGCAATAACATGGAACACGACAATAAGCCTCATCTCATTCCACCTCTTTGATAGCTAATTTGTTTACAGACAGCATCATTTAGATGTAATACGATGACAGACCATGTGCTTATGAATCACTAAAATGGTGATGATACCAGGTGTTCGCGAAAAGGTGAGCGTATCTTGCCCCACCGGTGGCACCCGTCTTAAACGTATGCAGAGTCTAGTCCATTGTTCACCTGATATAATTCGGGAAAATATGATACTAGTCAAAATAGGGATTGCATCGGACATAATTTTTGTCACTGATGCAGCAGCACGTGCATCACTGTCGTAGTTTGGACTAGTACTGTCATACAAACACATCCATGTACGGCGTTATATATGGAATACAACTTTTACGTTAAGCCCAATTTCACAAATCCACGTTGGCGTGGATCGGTGATCATTACATCAATCGAATGCAATCAGCAACACAAGTAGGTTGACTAATCTTAAAGACCACCGCGCATCCATATGGTCCATAATGCCAAAATACTGTTATTTTTCAACAGGAACATACCGGTTATAGCTCTCGTCTTTCTCACAACGACGCAGTGTGAGCCAATTGATCAGCATGCTACTGTGGAGACTAAAAATCTGTACAAGAACATCAAAGCCCTGGCTAGGAACTCCTCCAAGGTGATGTTTGGTCATCATTTTGACACAATGCTGGGGGCTCAGGGAGGGCATCCTCCATACCTGTTTCAGACGCTGAGTCACGACGGCAATGTGCACGGATACACCTTTTCGGTAGGTCTTCGAAATATCCATGAGTGAGTGAGTGTATTTTTACGCCGCATTATCCCACCTATATGGCGGCGGTCTGTAAATAATCGAGTCTAGACCAGCCAATGCAGTGATTAACATCCTGAGCATCGATCTACGGAATTGGGATATGATGACATGTGTCAACCATGTCAGCGAGCCTGACCACCCGATGCCGTCAGTCGCCTCTTACGACAAGCATGGGCTACTGAAGATCAATTCTAACCCGGATCTTCAAGGGTTCAATATCCATGGGACGGGAATCTAACAAAGAGAAATCCCATAGATATATTGTGTTTCCTACGGCATATCGTATAGTAAATCACAAGCGTGTCCATTAATATATATTCCCTTAAAATCTCTGATCTCGCGAGGCGTTCACGTGGGTTCCTTCAACTTCAGTTTTTGACTGTATTCATCAGGACATTACGCCAGCATTACATTATCATTAACTGTGTACCTTTTTTGGATTCGAGGCAATGCATTTTGATGCACATCTAAGCCAATATAATTGTTTTGTTTTTATACCAAGTGACATTTTTTCATATCCATAATGAGTTATCACTGGAAAAGGACTGTTTCATATGTTTCGTGATTATTACGGATTTATGTAATTATCGCCAGTAAACTGCCTTCGGGTCCCAATGAAATACATTTTCCGTGCGGCAATCTAGACTGGCCGTTCTCGAATGTCTGTTTCTATTTAAATTTGTCAAAAACTAAAGATATTTTTTTCAGGAGAAACAGGCACTGTCTGGCTATCCCGATGAGTTGTCGGACACCAAAGGTGTAACAGGACAATACCCAGCTGTGTCTAGTTTTGACTTTTCTCAATTTCAAGATGACCAGACCGTGACCACAACCTACTTGGCCAAGCTTGCTCATGCAAGAGGCCAAGTTATTACCCTTTCCCAGCATCTCAACAACCCCGTCACTGGTGGGGCTCCATGGGTGAATCAAGATTCAGGGGATGTTCTTCATACAGTTAAAAGAATCCTCCCTGGAGGAGACCATAACCTGAAATACAAGGAGAACCTGGACAAGATTGCTGACTGGGCTCTCAACCTAACCGACTCCAGTGATAATCTAATTCCATTTATCTACCGACCTCTTCACGAACAAAACGGAGGATGGTTTTGGTGGGGCCTCTCTCCCCAAACTCAGAATACGGCGGATGATCTGAAAGACCTGTACAAGTATATCGTGACATACTTAAGAGATACAAGAGGTGTCCACAATATTCTGTATTGCATCAGCCCAGATAAGTTCAAGACTAAAGATGACTACCTTAAGGTGTATCCAGGAGACGACTTCGTCGATATCATGGGCACTGACTTCTACTACATGCATCCAAACCAGCCTCCAGTCTCTGATCTGAAGAGAACCTTGGATGATTTGGTGGACATAGCAGAGGCAAGGGATAAGATTCCAGCACTGACAGAAACAGGCATCATGCAGAATGGTATTGATTCTGTACATAACTTCTGGAACGACCACATCCTAGACATCTTGAAAACCGATTCTAAAGCAGCAAGGATAGCTTACATTCTGGCATGGGCCAACCGCTGTTCTGGAAACCACAAATGCCAGCTCTGGATTCCTTACAAGGGACATCCTGCCGAAGCAGACTTTAGGAACAATTTCTTCAATGATCCTATGACTATATTTGCAAACCAGATCGGTGGTATGTACAACTGATATTTATTTGAGAATGCTATTTCTTGTGTAAAACCATTCCTATTCTTATTTGATGATATCCAGGATATAGGTTTTCGTTCATAACAATAAATGTTAGACAATCAATTATGTTGTGGTTGCATTTTAAGGGTAGCTTACGGTTCAAATGAAAGATTTTTGTCAGCAATAGCGAGGATGAGGGAGTTTGGTTTAACACAGCTTAAGTGTATTCCAGTTATACGTCAGCTCACTGTAGGAGGAAAGCGCGAACACGATTACAGTGCGCCAAAAAATGAAACATAATGAGGCCAAACCAACGATGATTTGGGGCTTCATGCATTGTGTTTAAAGGTGGCTGGAAATGGGTGAGAAATGTACTTGATACGACTGTATGGTCAAATCCAGCTTTTAGGGAAACGCATTGAGAACATTGTGCAGTGAAAATGACGAAAAGAGGTCAAACGTTAGTCAGCATTTTGATGTAGGTTTGTCGACTTACGTTTGTCGAAATGGGAGTGTGCGAGGCTGAATGGTAACATCGCCAGATGACGTCTTGAAGCAGGAAGAAAATAGTCTGCAGTTGTACGTCAATGTACCAGAGCACCATATCTCGGTATCGGTATCAGTTCAACCCGTGATCGTCGAGAAGTGAAATACCAGAGAGTCACACCCCTGCACACGATCGCTATATCCGGGCCTTTCATCTACGCCATCGACCTGCTGATGCCACCTACAGTCTGACCAAACCATCAGAAATCAGTTTGTGAGGGATCGGTGTTAGACGGTGTTTGTCCTTGTATTGAGACGACTATAATGGAAGCGATGAAGCAACACCGTGAACGTGCAGATTCTGAAAAATTGGTGATAAGTTAGGTTCAGTTTCTCCAACACGGGATGAAAGACAAGGCATCACCCAATATGAACGTTTTGTGCCGAGCTGCGTTCAACATATCTTCAGATTCAGCGTCTGAGTGTGATGGCGTGAAGAGCCATATTCCACTCATGAGTCATAAAGATATGACAGTTAATCAGTACATCAAACAAATTCTTGTTAATGTATGGTTGGCATCCGATATGATGACGTTTTACAACACTGACACCACGTTATAAATAATCTAAGCATGACAGCAGAGGAGGTATTGGCAGTTGAAGCAGCAACAAGAAACCAAGCGTGTTTCCCAGTTTGGTTTCAGTTCAGACCTGGGTGTAAAACAGAATCAAAGATGAAGAGTGTCCGTACATCACTGTCTGGCGAGCTACGAGATGGGGATGTAGCCACGGAGTAACAGCTAGGGACACCTATGAGAAAGTATTTACTGAGCGTCACCATAACTTCAGTATTCAGGAATGTGGCTTATTCCTCAGCTGTGAGTATCCACATCTTGGTGCAACTCCTGATGGTATTGTTAACTGTGGTTGTTGTAGAAGAGGCTGTCTTGAGATTAAGTGTCCATTCTGTGCAAAGGATAACTTTGATGACAGTTTACAAAGAGGGGTTAATGCTTCACTGCAATTAACCCTCTAGTGCCCCACGTATCATATATGATACATTTTACTTCCTGGTATCTAGTGTGCCCCATGGAGTAATTGGAGTTATCTCCCTTATAGGGCCTTTGATCCATGCAATTTTGAAAGTCATTCAGTAGTTTCGTTCAAAAATTAGCTCTGCATGCTTAGTGCAGAAAGGTCATCCATGAGGGCGGCCTCCATGAAAAACACATGTTCGTGTGCACTCAGACATTGATTGGATATTGCACGATGGTACAGGTGAAATTAAGTTTTATCACCGGGTGCAAACACAAATATTTGTAACTAATCATGAATACTGTTACTTTGTTGTTTGTACAAACAATGATATATTTGTGAAAAGAATTACACCTTGTATGGCATTCTGGAAACCAGTAGCTGACCAGGCAATGCTGTTCTACACATCTGTTACTCTGTGTAGATTGTTGCACGACACTTCCTGAACACACGTGAAAGGGTTTGCTCCAGAAAGTGTTGACAAGGAATTGTTTTGTACACGTACAGTTTCAATTTCATTATTCTTTGTCATTAGGTAATCAATGGGAATATTGCTGCTGAGTATCATATATTTCTGACGGCCATTACCAATAACCCTTTCCACATGAAGTCTTTCCTCTACTTCAGCGATACTCGGCTGTGGCTTACCTCTTGTAAATGCTGGAGCCCTTAACTCCGCTCCTACAGAACCAATACTGTCTTGTACATCAAAGCCTCTATCTGCTAATACAATATCACCATGGAGAAGATAGTTGGTGAAATTACTTTTATTTGTCAAACACTTATCACTAACACGACTTCCCCATCCCTCAGAAATGTAACTTACAGAACCTTGGGGAGTAATGCCAAGGCGACATGTTACAGTATTATGATGCTTGTACGTTGACCATGTCAAACTGTCAGAATTGATGGTCTATCAATAAAAATCTGAAAACAGTCTATAGGAACAGACACTCTGCGTGCAAAATACCTTCTGAATACCATTGCCCTTGTTTTCCATAAATGCTCTCTATCTGGCCAGAACACAAGTTGTTCAAGTTGATGTACAAGACATTCATAACCTGATTAAATGTCCTGGAAATTTTCTTCCAGATCAAACCATTCAGTCTCATTAATGTAATAATTTACTTTTGAAACAACGATGAATGTAATGATACTAGATTGAGCAATGCCATTAGTGTTACAAAAGGAGGCAGGCCAGTATAATATCGTACGTTATCATCATCACCTTCAAAGTGTACAGTGTTATTTACTTTCATTTTATAAACTATCTTCTCAGGTCCATTATTCTCATGTTTTAAAGATTCATTTTCTGATTTAAGAATTGTCGATTTCAGTTTTGCAACGTTTACGTTCCTGCTTGGGTGTAATATTATGGTCCTGATCTACTGGTTCTATCTCTGATTCTTCCTCACAAAGTCCCTCTTCTAGATCAAACCGCAGGTTCCAGAGTGTTGATGCTCCCTTGCGCTCCTAAATGACAAAGAACACCAGTTATTTGGCTAATTACATATATTTCAGTAACACTCATGTAGCAAATGCACTGGTGCGTAAACATTCTATCTTAAACAGTGTTCAAAAATAAATCTTGGAAATCAAGAGGTCAGTACAATGTATATGATGTAAATAATTTAGGATTGGGGAGAAAATCTGTGTTACACACTACAGCAAAAGTCAATTAACCGAGCACCCCTTAATTTCAAAATCCTTAATTCAACTACCAGGGATTTCTACTACTAGACAAATCAGAACTGTCCAAATGACCAGACAGACAAATAGGCAGAAACATTATATTTAAGTGTGACAAGTCAGTTACATAAGAAATATACATACATGATAAACATTAAACATGATTAGTTTCCCTGGAGACGGAAGAAACGAGAACCCTTGTCATTGTTTCAACTTGGTATCCATTCGGGATGGGTGTCCTGATACCAGGACGAAGGAGAACCTGGAGACGAGTATTTTATTATTAATATAATCATCACAATTACACAATTAACTGTATGAAGGCATGCAGAGTTCAGATATATTCCCATTGCTTGAAATTATCAGAGACAGTATTTAGCCACGGTGGCCTGACATGTCCACTAATCACATGGACTATTTCAAATATTATCGGCTTATTATTATAATGTGAAGCGGGTTAAAATTCGTGTATTCGATCATGTCGAAGCAAAAACGAATACATTCGCTGCTACACCCACATACCTACCTACCTACCTACCTACCTACCTACCTACCTACATACATACATACATACATACATACATACATACATACATACATACATACATACATACATACATACATACATACATACATACATACATACATACATACATACATACATACATACATACATACATACATACATACATACATACATACATACATACATACATACATACATACATACTAACATGGCTATTTGTATAGCGCCGATATCCAGCTCAGCTCAGCTGCTCAAAGGCGCTTTGTTTTTCCCTCGTTCACTGGATGTCAATCTCAACGGAACATCGTATTGTCAATCTCAACTCCCTGGGGATCATACAGATGTACATATTTCCCTCCACATTTCCATCACATAACTGTGTAGTATCTATTTGTAATTTGCTATTTGTTGTAAGGATTCTCTTTCCATGCATATTCTAAAAGTACATATTTCCCCCCATAAACATATCACATTACTGTGTAGTATTTATTTGTAATTTGCTATTTGTTGTTAGGATGCTCTTTCCATGCATATTCTAAAAGTACATATTTCCCCCATAAACATATCACATTACTGTGTAGTATTTACTTGTTATTTGCTATTTGTTGTTAGGATGCTCTTTCCATGCATATTCTAAAAGTACATATTTCCCCTCATAAACATATCACATTACTGTGTAGTATTTACTTGTTATTTGCTATTTGTTGTTAGGATTCTCTTTCCATGCATATTCTAAAAGTACATATTTCCCCTCATAAACATATCACATTACTGTGTAGTATTTATTTGTAATTTGCTATTTGTTGTTAGGATTCTCTTTCCATGTATATTCTAAAAGTACATATTTCCCCCCATAAACATATCACATTACTGTGTAGTATTTATTTGTAATTCGCTATTTGTTGTTAGGATGTTCTTTCCAAGCATATTCTATAAGTATTGAGCCTATGCATGCTACGAATAGACTAATGGGTGTCTGACAGTTTGAGAAAAAATCTTTTGTTTCATTTCACCTAGACTCTTGGTATTTATTACAAAGACCATTTGTAGTTTGATTCTAAAATGCCTGAGGAATTCAGTGATGCATTTACAGCAGCTGAGTGTGAAATATACGTGATGTAAGGGGAGTCTCAGTACTGGCGCTCACGGAACGCGCACTTTGGCGTTCGTATCAGTGTATTTTCGAAAACATTCCAACCGATTCTAGGTTCATAGGCAACGTTACAGAATGAAATAAACTAAGTTCTGTTCTGTTCTGTTTCAAAATTATCATAAGCTATATCATAAGCTATTTTCAACACGTTAGCTTTATCTAAGATAATAGTGATGGTATCAAGATTCAGGACATTTTCCCCAGAATCCTAAACTGTGAAGTATATTTGTGTGC